ACAGAATAAACAATTAAAAAAAAAGAAAAAAAAAAGGAAGGGCGACGGCCTTGAGATATCATCATTGAACTGACCAGTCCTTGGTATTTCAGAATTGCAGTCTTTTACTCGTCTGCATCCGGTCGAGTTTGAACTCACGTCCGTATTTCAACAGTTCAGTGGTGTACCAACTGAGCTAGGCCAGTTGGCAATAAAACAATTCTGAGTTACCTGGGGCCGGGCAGTCCAATGATGATATCCGAGTAATAAAAAACAGAAAAAAAAAGGAAAAGAAAATCTATGATTATTCGCGGTTACTGTACCTGTCGTAAAATCATGATGGGCGACAGAATGAGCGTTCCGTTTTTTGTCTTTTTTTTCTTTTCTTTTCTTTTCCCTTACCCATTATGTTGCTTTGTTCAAGGCCATGAGTTGCTTTCCACTGTCTGTGAGTATATAAACTTATAAAGCTATAAACACTTCCTCAAATGAATCTGCTCGTCGATATAGCCAGGTTCAGTTGCAGATGGTTCCTAGTGTGATTATGAAGTGCAGGGAATGTTCCCCTGTGTGATTCAGAGCATGTACTCAACACAGTAGTTCGTCAAATGAACCTATTCGTCATTGCGGCCACATTCAGCCGCAAAGGATTCCTAGTGTGAATATGGGGCAGGGAATGTTTCCCTGTGTGGACTGAGAGCATATACTCGGAGAATAATGAATGAATCTGCTTCTCATTGCGGCCTGGTTCATTTGTGAACCGTTCCTTGCACGAGTACGCCATAGGATGGCAGGAGACAGCAGTAGTTTTGAATGCACGACACTTATTTTACTTAATTCTTCCCTCGCACCAGTACTTCCAAGGCACTTTTCTCCGGGGCTGGAAACGGCTTGTGCGCCAAAAGAAGACAAACGGGTGCAGGCCTCCTTTTGGCTGGCGCCATGGTGTGCATGCACCGGCATCAGACAACAATTGTTGTGAAAATTACTTGTGGTTTAAAGTTGAACCCACCAGCATAGGGACGTCTTGTTATACCGCCGGTTCCTATGAACCGAAGTAGTGCTTTTACCGCTATACGTGGTGAGAGAGAGCATTTCGATTCGGGTCTGGGCCAGTAGCTGAAGCGGCAGGCCACATTCAAACCTCGCAGTTGCAGGCTGGCGAGCCTTGGACATAGCTTCATCAACTTAAGCTTGAGCTTCACAATCCTAGTTTGAGGATTTTGGTTAACTTAAGCGGGGCTCCGCATTAAAATATTTACTTCTCGGCTGAACAGTGCGCAGGCCGTGACTTTTGGAACAGTCACGGATTCGTGGCCGAGCACACTGCGGGGAGAAAGAAAACATACTTACGTTGAAGGCGGTTCGGTCCATCCGACCGCACTTCTGGTCCCGTTAAAAAGCATTGTTCACTATTTACCAGTCGTAGCGGTTCGCTCCGCGGGGCGGGGCGAACACCAACGTACCGACTTTGAAATCGGTTCAAAGCATCGGACCGCGCCTCTGGTCCAGTTGAAAAGCATGTCCACTATTTACCAGTTGGAGCGGGGAGTAATTTAGTCAGTTTGTCGAAAAATGCGGCCTGTAGAGCCCCGTTCAAATGTACAAACGAAACGTCACACTTCAACTTAAAAAAAAAACTCAAACTAGGACTGTGGAGCACAAGCCTTAGGCTCGTGCGAACTGGTGGTTTATGCTTATGACAGATGGAATGTAAGGGGGGCATATTCATGCTACGATTCTTTTGACTGACTGTGGTCATGAAGGCAGGCAGATAGGCCTGCAAAATTTGTAGTGTCAGTATTACCAAGGTCATCTTTTTCTGTTGGTCGAGTTGTGTGTGTGTGTGTGTGTGTGTGTGTGTGTGTGTGTGTGAGAGAGAGAGAGAGAGAGAGAGAGAGTTCTGTCACTTTTCAGACTTGTTTTCCCATCTTAGGGTATACTCACACGAGCACTTTCCAAAATGCATCCGACTCGATGTACGGCCAGACCTGGATGCATCTGGCTGCAATAACGTCCGTCTAAGAGTAAAAGAGTCCTCGTATGGGGTGTTCTACACTCTCGAGTGCATACCCACATCAGTAGGGCTTTCTCGAGTGAATCGGGCTGTAAACGCGGTCTGATGCACTCAGGGAAGAACAACTGTGAGTATGCCCTTGTTGTGCCGGTGGGTGTGCCTCACATTCATTCCTCAGGTCAGTTTAGGCCTCGCTGCAGTCCCACCTGAGGCCAATTACATGTGTAGAATGGAGTGTCTCTTTCAGCCAAAAGGTGCAAAGATACGCGGCCTTTTTGTTTTTTATTCAAGTGTGATGGCCTTGAGGTGTCATCATCAAACTGATCGACATCGAGGTGTCATCATCAAACCGATCGGCCTTGAGGCGTCATCATCCGGAGAGTTACGTCGTTTGTCTGATCCCAGTCAAGATTCGAACTCAGGTCTGTTTATCATCAGTTCATGGGTGTACCATTCAGCCATAGGGGCTGGGTATATAATACATATCCGGCTTTTTGTTTTTTTCCTCTCTCTCATTTGGCGAGTGGAGTGAGGTTCACGACAGGCGCTTTGTCGTGGTACATTGCACTGGCAGGTCTGTTCCACAGCAACAGCAGCAGCATGTCAGTGGACTTGCAGTGGTGGATGTGCACTGATGATGATTCTCCCCCTCTCCCCATCCCTCCCAATTACCGTTAATGCCAATAATCCTGATACTGATGGTAAGCGCTTATAACTTATAAGTACTCTCTCTCTGTCTCTCTCTCTCTCTCTCTCTCTCTCTCTCTCTCTCTC